AATTTGTCCACAGAGGGTGGGTTGTGTGTCCCTCAGCCCCGCCGCACCCTCTCCAATCTGGGACCTCTTGAGGGATGTCTGACTGCCCATTTAGGGTCTGCTGGCTTCCAACTCTTCTCCTGCTTGCCTGCCTGATTGCCCCTAACAGCTTCTGCCTGCTAGCCTGATCATGCTTAATTGCCCCTAACCACTTCACTGCCAGTCTGATTGATGCCTAACTGCTCCCTTGCCATCCCAATTGCTCCTAATAGCCCTCCCTTGCTGGCTGGTCACTAACAATTGCCCTCCTCTGCCGTGATGGGGGTCTTGTGTGCACATGGTGGCAGTCAGCTTCTATATTGGAGTGATAGTCACTTTGCATATTACTCTTTTATTAGATAGGATATTGCTGATCTACAGATTGTTTATTTATTTATTTATTTATTTTTTTAAATAAATCTTTTTTGTTCAGATTATTGCAAATGTGTTCCTCTTTCCCCCCTCAATTGCTCCCCTCTACCAGGTTTCCACCCCACCTCTGTCCTTTCCCAATCCCCCATTGTCCTCATCCACGGTGCACAGTTTTTGTTCTGTCTCTTCCCGCACCCCCACTCTCCTTTTCCCCGAGAATCGTCAGTTCACTCCCCTTCTATACCTCTGATTCTATTATATACAACAGTTAATATTGATCATCAGATTTTTTAATTCCCTTGGTTTTAGATTCACTTGTTGATAGTTACGTGTTTGTTGTTCATAATTTTTATCTTTATCTTCTTCCTCTTCCTAAATAACCCCTTCAGCAATTCATATAATTCTGGTTTGGTGATGATGAGCTGCTTTAGCTTTTTTTTTTATTTGTGAAGCTCCTTATCTGGCCTTCGATTTTGAGTGATAGCTTTTCTGGGTAGATTATTTTTGGCTGTAGGTTCTTGCTATTCATCACTTTGAATATTTCTTGCCATTCCCGTCTGGCCTGCATGTTCTCTGTTGAGAAAACAGTTGACAGTCTTATGGGTGCTCCTTTATAGGTAACTATCTGCTTTTCTCTTACTACTTTTAATATTCTCTCTTTGTCTTTTGCTCTTGGCATTTTAATTATGATGTGTCTTGGTGTGGTCCTCTTTGGATTCCTTTTGTTTGGGGTTCTGTGTGCTTCTTGGACTTGTAAGTCTATTTCTTTCCCCAGGTGGGGGAAGTTTTCTGTCACTATTTCTTCCAATAATTTTGCTTGCTCTCTTCTTCTGGAATCCCCATAATTCTGATGTTGGTTCGCTTGAAATTGTCCCAGAGGTTTCTTACACTATCTTCAACTTTCTGGATTCTCTTATCTTCTCCCTTCTGCAGAGGAGTGTCCTCTGGCTCTTTGTGTTCTAAATCTTTGTCTTGATTCTTGCAATCTTCCAGTCTGTTTTTAGGACTTTGTATATTTTTTATTTCAGACAATGTTTTCTTCATTTCTAGTTGATCCCTTATTATTTCTAATTGCTCCCTTTTCATATCCTCATAGGTCTCATTTATTTTATTGGCCTTTGTAAGGATATTATTGAAAAGTGGTTTTGAATTCAGTGTCCAACTTTTCTTTTCCTCCATCTCCTTACTTTGAGTCCTTCCTCTTGTCTGCATTTTAGTTGTTTCCTTGATTTGATGGAATAGTTTTGTGTGCTAGGATTTCTGGTAGAGCCCAGTAGCACAGCCTTCCCAGTTACCTGTGGTGGACAGTCTTGGTGTCGCCCTTTGTGGGCTGTGTGTACAGTCTTGTTAAGCCTTGCTTATTGTATCACTGGGAAGCGTTGATCTCCAAGCCAATTGCCTGTGAGGATCAGCAGTGTCTCAGCTAGGACGGCTTCTGTACTCTGCTTGGTTAGGTCAAGGGCTTGGGGTGGCGCAGACAATCTTTGGTTTCTTAGAAAAGTCCTGTTTGGGGAGAGTTTCGGAAGATTGGTTGCAGGCGCACACACCTCTTTGGTAAAGGCACAGACAAGCTTTGGATTTCGGTCAGTCCCTCCTTAGAGAAAGCCAGCCTCTGGGAGAGCTTCTGTGCTCAGCCACAGATGGGGCGGAGTCTTGGGTTGGTGCAGACAAACTTTGTTTTTCCTTTGGCAGTAATGGCCTCTGACTTTACACACCTCTGAGACATCTCTGCCCACTGCCTGACAGTCTGGTCTTTCCCTGTCTGGGGCCGTCTATCAGAGCAATAGGCTGATTCTGTTCTCCTCTTGAACAAGAAAGCCAGCCAAGCATTAGCTGTTCGCCCTCTCTGCGCGCAGGGAGTAAACCAGTAGCGAACTCAGCCCCATCCTCCTCCTCTGCGCTGGGAGTAAGCCAGCGCCTTTTCGCACACACAGTTCTCCGTACCTTCATAGTTCCTGAGGTTCAGCGTGCCTTCTCTCTTCTTCCCAGATGGCAGAGCCTCCTCTCAGCTAGATGTCTGACACTTCAGGGCAATGCCTCCCCTGATTTCCAGTTCTAAATTCAAATTTGTTGTGGTAGGCTGCATTTGGGTGTCCACCCTATGCTGCCATCTTGGTTTCTATTTTTAAAAAAAAATAAATCTTTATTGTTCATATTACAAATGTTCCTCTTCCTCCCTTCCCCTCCCCCCTCCCCCCATTGCTCTCCTCTACCAGGTTCCCATCCCACCCTTTGCCCTTTTCCTACCCCATATTGTCCTCATCCATAGGTGCACAGTTTATGTTCAGTCTCTTTCCACATCCCCTTCTCCCCTTTTCCCCAAGAATCGTCAGTCCACTCCCCTTCCATACCTCTGATTCTATTATAATATATTTAACAGTTAATATTGTTCATCAGATTTTTTTTTAATTTCCTTGGTTTTTAGATTCAATTGTTGATAATTACGTATTTGTTGTTCGTAGTTTTTATCTTTATTTTCTTTCTCTTCCTAAATAACCCCCTTCAGCAATTCATATAATTCTGGTTTGGTGGTGATGAACTTTAGCTGTTTTTTTATTAGTGAAACTCTTTATCTGGCCTTCGATTCGGAGTTATAGCTTTGCTAGGTAGATTATTTTTTGGCTCTAGGTTCTTATTATTCATCACCTTGAATATTTCTTTTTCTTTTTTTTTTTTTTTTTTTTATCTTGAATATTTCTTGCCATTCCCATCTGGCCTGCATGGTTTCTGTTGAGAAATCAGCTGACAATTGTATAGGTGCTCCTTTATAGGTTACTACCTGCTTTGCTCTTGCTGCTTTTAATATTCTCTCTTTGTCTTTTGCTCTTGGAATTTTAATTATGATTTGTCTTGGTGTGGTCCTCTTTGGATTTCTTTTGTTTGGAGTTCTGTGTGCTTCCTGGACTTGTAAGTCCAATTCTTTCCCCAGGTGGGGGAAGTTTTCTGTCACTATTTCTTTCAGTATGTTTTCGATATCTTGCTCTCTCTCATCTTCTGGGACCCCCATAATTCTGATGTTGGTTCGCTTGAAGTTGTCCCAGAGGTTTCTTACATTATCTTCAATTTCTTGGATTCTCTTGTCTTCTGGCTCTTTATGTTCCAAATCTTTGACTTGATTCTCACGATCTTCCATTCTGTTTTTAGGACTCTTTATAATATTTTTTATTTTAGACATGTATTCTTTATTTCTTGTTGATTCCTTATTAATTCTAGTTGATCCCTTTTCATATTCTCATAGGTCTTATCCATCTTTTCTAGGAAATTCTTGAAAAACCTTGTAAGCGTAGATTTGAACTCTATATCCAGTCGCTTTTTGTCCTCCATTTCTTTCGTTTGTGATCTATTTCATTGTCTGGGCATTTTCACAGTTTCCCTGATGGGGTGGGGTTTCAGGGTGGAGTCTACAGCCTTGGCTTCCATCAGCCCCCCCCTGTGTGGCTCCTGAGTCTCAGTATTCCCAGGGTCCTTCAGTATTCGCTGCAAGCACCTCTGAGAGAAAGGTGCCCTTGATTTTCGCCTGCTACCAAACAGTCTAGGCTCTTCCCCAATGAGCCCAGAACTGGGGTTCAGTTCAGTTGCAAGTGGAGTTGGAGGTGGCGTTCAAAGCAGTATGGAGCTTTTGTCTCCTTCCTGCCAGGGCAATCCCGTGGCACAGCCAACCATTCCTTCTCTGCGTGCAATGTGCGTGCCTCTGGGGGCTCTGCCTTTCGCTGCTCCACTGGGATTCTGCCTCACAGCCCAGGCTCCCTCTGAATGAGCCTGGGTCCCCAGGGTCTGGCCTAGAACTGGGGTCAAGTGCTGTCGGGTCTGGGGTTCAGCACAGTTGAAGCTTTTATCTCTTTCCTGCTAGGGAACGCCAGCCAGGCACTCAGCCGCCCCTCCTCTCCGGTTCTGCCCTCTCTGTTTGCGACTCTGTACCTTAGGCTTTTACAGCTCCTCCACTCTTCCTTCTGGTTTTCTCCTTGCTTCTCGTTGTAGAATTTCCAGTCAGTCAACTTTCCTGTAGTTCTGGGTAATGTCCACTTTATATTTTAATTGTATTTTATTGAAATTGTTGTGTGCGGCTCGGGCTAGGTGTTTACCTGTGCAGCCATCTTGGATTCTCTCCTACAGATTGTTTATTTATATTATAGAGGTCTGATGCACGAAATTCGTGCATGTGGGTTTGTGTCCCTCAGCTCAGCCTCTACCCTCTCCAATCTCGGACCCTCGGGGGATGTCCGACTGTCCGTTTAGGCCTGATCCCATTACACTGGGAAACAGACATCCCTCACAATCCAGGATTTCTGGCTCCTAATTGCCTGGTCACCCCTAACTGCCCTTCCCTGCAGGTCCAATCACCCCCAACTTTCCTACTCTGCAGATCTGGTCCCTCCCCTACTGGCCATCTTGTGTCCATATGGGGATAGTCATTTTGTGTGATGATCAATTTGCATATTATTTTATTAGATAGGATTATCTCCACTTGTGATTAACTTATTAGCCAAAAATACTAAATTATTTGGTGTTTGCTGTTTTCTGAGAATCAGGTATAATGAGCATTCTATGATATCTATATTGTGGATTTTTGAAAGGGATATAATTTGACTACTAATCATTTTCTTTTTCAGCATTATCTGCATATCAGAGATACTACAGTTTGCAGTCTGACTACTGGAAGGTTAGTAAGTACACACTTGAATGACAGGTTTTTTTTTTTTTCTTTTTTTTCCATTTGGGACAAATTATGTAATAAGTAAGGTACATGGAAAAGATGAAAGGCATTATTTCGTGCCAACTATTGTCTGAAATATCTTGTTCTTTATTGGTATTTAATATGACATTTTAAAATAAAAATTTTGCATTCCTAATGTGATATTTTAATAGTATACAAAATCAAGCAAAAAAAAATACTGTTTTTAAAGTTTATAGCTGGGAATAAATGAAGGGTAGAAGATGGTGATTTTGAAGATAAAGGCTGAGTTAGGTCAAGGTAAAGAACATTTCTCCTTTTTATAGTTTCTGTATGATTGAAGCTCAAGGGAGAATTAAAACTTACCTTTAGGACCTATTAAATAAACAATTATGTTTAAAGATAAATTAATCTTTGTTATTTTAGTTTACTTGCTAAAGTTTAATTAATTATAACATGCATAATTTTATAATAAATAGTTGCTTTTAAATAATAAATGCCATTATTATTTAATATTAGAGGCTGGTACATGAAATTTGTACACTGGAGGCGGGGTGTCCCTTATCCTGGCCTGCGCCCTCTCGCTTGGGGTGCAGGCCTAAGACAACATTCAGATATGCCCTTTCCTGCTAGCCCAGTTGTGCCCAACTGCCATCTTCTGTAGATCTGGTGTCCCTGAGCCTGGTTGATCCCAACAGCCCTCCCCTGCATGCCTGATGGCCCCCAACTGCCTTCCTTTCTGATTTCGTCACCCCCATTTGCCATCCACTGCAGTCCTGGTCACCCCCAACTATCCTTCTCTGCTGTCCCGGTCCCTCCCAACTGCCTTCCCTGAAGACCTGGTTGCCCAACTGTCCTTCCCTGAAGGTTTGTTGGCCTCAGCTGCCCTTATTGCCAGCCTTGTCACCTTCAGTTGCCTTCTCTGCCAGCCATTTTGTGGCAGCCATCTTGTGACAATGTTGCACCAGGGCATTTCACATGATGTCACCTAGGCTTTTATTATATAGTATTATGTTTCTTGGTTTCCAATGATTGTATCAGTCTTGCATCTTTGGAATAAATCCCACTTGATCATGGTGTATGATTTTTGTAATTATTGCTGGATCTGATTTGTTAATATTTCGTTGAAGATTTTAGCATCTCTGTTCATCAGGGATATTTGCCTGTACTTATAATTCTTTGCAGTGTCTTTATCTGGTTTTGGATTTAGGATAATGCTCACCTCTTTGAAAGAATTTGTAAGTGTTCCTTCCTGTTGGATTTTTGGGAATAGTTTGAGGAGGATTAGATGTTAGATTGAATGTTTGGTAAAATTCCTCAGTGAAGCCAGCCAGATCTGGGCTTTTGTTTGGTTGGAGTTTTATTTATTTTTTAAATTTTTTAAAATTTCTATTTCTTCAGTTGTTATTGACCTATTCTGGTTTTCTGGTTCTTCATGATTCAGTTTTGGGAGATTGTATTTTTCTAGGAATTTGTACATTTCATCCACATTGTCCAGCTGGTTAGCATATACTGTAGTTGGTCATAATGTTTTCTGAAAAAAATTTTTTTTTTTAAATTTCTGTGATGTCAGTGGTTACTTTTCCCTTTTTGTTTCTGATTTTATTTGTGCCCTCTCCCTCTTTTCTTGATGAGTCTGCCTAATGGTTTATCAGTTTTGTTTCTCCTTTCAAACTACCAGCACTTGGTTAACTTTTTTTTTTCTTCTTCTTCTTTTTAGTCTCTTATTTCTGCTTACTCAGGGCTTTTCTTGTTTTCTCTTTCCGGTTCTTTAAGTTGTAGGGTCAAATAGTTTGTTGCTTGTTTTTCTTTTGTTTTTGTTTTGTTTTGATATATGCCTGTAATGCAATGAATTTTCTTTTCAGAACTCTTTTTGCAGTGGTTTTTTGTTTTTTTGTTTTTTTTCATTTTTTCCAGGAAGTTTTGATTTCTTTCTTCATCTCATTGGTAACCCATTCTTTGTTTAATAACATGCTATTTAGCTTCCAGGTGTTTGAATGTTTGGGGTGTTTTTACTGTAATTAATTTCTAAATTCACTTCATTGTGATCTGAGAAGATGCTTGATGTGATTTCAAATTTCTTGAACTTGTGGAGACTTGTTTTATGTCCTAACATGTGGTCCATCATTGTGTATATTCTGAAGAATGCATATTTGCAGCTTTGTTGTAAAGTATTTCATAAATGTCTATTAAATCCACTGATCCAGTGTGTCCTTTAAGGTCTCTGTGTCCTTAAGTTTTTGTCTAGGAGATCTATCCAGTGAAGTCAGAGAGGTAGTAGTGTCCCCTCTTATGACTGTAATGTTGTTGATCTCTTCGTTAAAGCCTTCTAGAAGTTTTTTTTGTATATTTAGGTGCTCCTATTTTGGGTGCAAATATGTTTGTCGAGCTATGTCCTCTTGTCGGATAGATCCCTTTAATATTTTTTTTTTTTAAATCAATCTTTATTGTTCATATTATTACAAAGGTTCCTCATTTCTTCCCCCCTCCACCAGGTTCCCACCCCACCCTCCGTCCCCCCCCCCCCCCATACCCCATTGTCCTCATCCATAGGTGCAGTTTATGTTCAGTCTCTTCTTCCCTCAATTTCCCCAATAGTAAATCCCTTTTCAGATAGTAAATCAGTTACTTAGCATTTTCTCATATCAATAATACCTCCACATGCCCAATGATACACTTCACACAAAAGACATTTCCCACTAGGTCAACCAGCCTCATCCAGGCCCCACCCAAGGCACTCACAGATCAACACCCCAGTCCTAAACTAACTCAACACATCCAGATCTAAGCCTTCATCACTTGATTCAGCAGACCCTCAAATTCCCACGAAATTTTCCAGCCATGTATGAGAAGCAGCCGTGGGGCAGGGGCAGGCAAGGAGCGAGCTGTTCTGGGCCTGGCTGCTCAGGGCCTGGCCTCTGTTGCTCTGGTTCATTCCACAACCAGCTGCTCCGGGTCTGGTCACTGCCGCTCCCGACCTAGTTGCTCTGGACTTGGCTGCTGCTGCTCCGGGCCTGGCCGCTCCCAGCCTGGCCGCCGCTGCTCCGGGCCTGGCCGCACCCGACCCGCCTGCTCCCCCGGGCCTGGCCGCTCCCAGCCTGGCAGCCGCTGCTCCGGGCCTGGCCGCACCCGACCCGCCTGCTCCCCCGGGCCTGGCCGCTCCCAGCCTGGCAGCCGCTGCTCCGGGCCTGGCCGCACCCGACCCGCCTGCTCCCCCGGGCCTGGCCGCCCCCAGCCTGGCAGCCGCTGCTCCGGGCCTGGCCGCACCCGACCCGACTGCTCCCCCGGGCCTGGCCGCTCCCAGCCTGGCAGCTGCTGCTCCGGGCCTGGCCGCACCTGACCCGGCTGCTCTGGGCCCGGCTGCCCCGGGCCCGGCCGCTCCGAGCCTGGCCACTCCCGACCTGGATGCTCTGGGCTTGGCTACTGCTGTTCTGGGTCTGGCTGCTCCCACCCCGGCTGCTCTGGGCCCGGCTTCTTCGGGCCCGGCCACTCCGGGTCTGGGTGTTCCTGGACTGGCCACCCTGGGCTTGGCCGCCTCCGCCTCATGCCTGGCTGCCACTGCCCCAGGTCTGGCTACTCCAGTGCTGGCTGTTGATGCTCTGGTTCTGGCTGCTGTTGTTCTGGGGCCTGGCCGTTGCTGTTCCGGGTCTGGCTGCCACTGCCTTGTGCCTGGCCACTCTAGGCCTGGCCGTCGCTGTTCCAACATTCTGTCCTTTTTTTTTCTTTTTAAAACGCATTTACGTTGCAATGTTGGCTGGTGAGTTGAGTTCTGACTTAGTCTTTGATTTTTCAAGATCTTCTTTGTATTCTTTCTTAAGTAATTTTACTATTTTTTGCTCTCACTTGATTTCTTCACATTAACTTCTTTGGTTTCTTCCTCCTTGTCCTGGGAGCTCAGCAGGTTGGCCTGTGGCACCCCTTTATTCCCCACGGGCTCCTGCGCTGCTTCAGCCTGTTGCCGGGACGGCGCCGCCCAGGAAGCAGCCCCAGGCCTTGGCTCCATTGCCCGAGCTCAGTGGTCAAAGGCTCAGGGGCACCCACGCCCCCAGGGGTCCCGTGGCCCGCCTCCTTGCTGGTTCCCGGTTGGCTGGAGTCCGGCAGGGGCTTCTGCTCCCCTCCGCGTTCCCCCAGCCTAGAGCTTTTTTTTTCCTCCTTCCTGCTAGGGAAGTCCAGCATCAGTGTCAACAGACTGTCCTCTGCGCGCAGTTTGCGCGAGTCCCACAGACTGTCCTCTGCGCGCAGTTTGCGCGAGTCCCACAGACTGTCCTCTGTGCGCAGTTTGCGCGAGTCCCGGGGGGCCGGCCTTTCGCTGCTCACCCGGGACTCCACCTCACAGCCCCGTCTCCCTCTGCCTGAGCCTGGGTCCCCAGGGATTGGCCCAGAACTGGGGTTCGGAGCAGTCCGGACTGAGGCTCAGCGCTGCCGGTTCGGGGGTTCAGCCCCGGCTGGGGGTTTTATTCCCTTCCTGCTAGGGAAGGAAAGGCGGCTCCCCGCCCTCTCCTCCTCTCCGGCTGCGACCTCTCCGTGCGCGCGTGCGGGCGGGCACCGCGCGCAGCAAGTCTCCGTACCTTAGGCTTTTTTTCAGCTCCTCTGATTTTCTTTCTGGTTTTCTCTTTCCTTCTTGTTGTAGAAATTTCAGTCAGTCGACTACCTGTAGCTCTGGGCAATGTCCACTCTACATTTTAGTTGTATTCCATTGAAATTGTTGTGTGCTGCCGCGGCTAGATGTCTACCCGAGCAGCCATCTTGGATCTGGACTTTCTTTATATACTAGAGACCCAGTGCATGAAATTCGTGCACTGGGGGAGAGGGGGAGTGTGGGGAGTCTCTCAGACTGGCCTGTGCCTTCTCGCAGTCTGTGACCCCTCGGGGGCTGTCCACCTCCCTGTGGGGAGCAGGCCTATGCCGGCAGATGGACATCTCTCTCGAAGTCCAGGACCCCCTCACTCCTTACTGCCTGCCTGCTTGCTGCTCCCTACTGCTCTGCT